CATAAGAAGCCTGTGCTGAGTATTTGTGTGGGAGTACAGGCAAGTAAACAGGTGATTACTGCGAGTATGATGGTTGCTGTGGCGAAGGCACACGCAGAGTGTTGACGGGAGCACCAATGAAGGGCACTCTGGTTGCCATGATGATGACAATCGTCATCAGAGCGTGGGTGAAAAGTTGAGGAGACGGCCCAGTGCCCAGGAGTCAGATCAAGACCAGCCTTGAAACTCAAGTAAAAGATGTCAGCCTTATCCTGAAGGTCACGGGAGCAACTGAAAATCAGAAGCAGTGGAGGGACCTCTGCATTTGGGAAGGTCACTCTGGCCCCAGGTAGACTAGTTAGGAAGCTGTAGAATTCTAAGTGAGAAAGAATGAGCTACAATCAAGGAACTGAGGGTCCTAATGAGGCCCAAGAGCCACGACCTACTGTAGCAGTAAGAGGACCAAACTGATGGGAATTTTCAGTCAGAGTCTAGGATATGAAGAATCACTTAAGGAATATTTACTGTATCTCTAAACACATGCAAAAGTCTGCAGAATGGGATAGCCAACTTCGTCATTCACACTGTATTATTGAAAATGACACCTCAGCTAATGCTAGCTAGAATACTCTTTCTCTATACTGGTGTCTCCCACAAAAAGTTTTGTTGTTTGATTACCCTGTGTTACGTTTCAGTGAAATATGGTTTGATCCAACGTTATCTTTCTCTTCTATCAATGCATGGCCTCAAAGTTACCATATCTCCAACCTGAGGAGTGTATTGAGGAAATAATGGACTGGGGATCTCACACAGTAGGTGCTCTAGAAATGCTGGGTTCCTCTGCTTTATTTATGTCTGAATTGCATCCAAAGGAGCTAAACATATTCGTTAACATTATCACTCGCGGGTTTCCGAGTTGAATGGTAGGCATTGTCGATCACATCTTGTATTTTACTGTGGGCTCTCAAAAATGGGTGTTACAGGAACACTGCAATCATTTACACCAGTTTTGTTTCTTTTCTTTTCTATTCTTTCTTTTCTCTTGTCTTCTCTTCTCCTTTCCTTTTCCCTTTCTTTCCCTTTCCCTCCCTGCCCTTTCCCTCTCCTTCCCTTTCCTTTTGTTTAGCTCTCATGTAATTTGGATGTTTTCTGACCATCTGTATTGTCCGAGGGTAAGGAAGAATTTCAGAGCGTTTTCCAGACACTATTTCATGGCTTCCAATAAACTCTTTCCTTGACTCTTTTGCCCCTCAGTAACTACACTCTTGGCTTGAGACAGGTTGAATGCACTGATCTCTTCTAGCAACTCTGGCTATCCATGCCTCTTCCATCCTTTCGTAAACCTTGGTTTGAATCAGAAGTTAGGGGATGCCTTCCTCAGGGACTCAATCACATGCATTCAGTATCCCAGGTAGGAAAGTTAACTCTTCTGCGTTTTTGATCTGTACTGTTTTTACATCCCTTTCTTTTGTCTAAAAAAATTGGGGTGGAATATATCCTAATGAAGTTTTTCGTACTACACTGAGCCTGTTTGACTTAAAATAATCTGCTTCTCCAGGGTACAGACACAAAGCCATTTGGCCCGAGACATCCAGATTCTAAGAACTCCTGAAGCCCGGCTTCTTTTGAGGCCAAGTTCAGGTTCACCTTGTGAGTCCTTCCTCTGTAGTAGCTGTTCAAGTGACAAGCTCACACAAAGCACTTTCAAACTAATACTGAAGAGTAGATCTTAGGTAAAGGGAAATGTGCTATGGTAATTACTTATAAGTGTCTTGACATAAAGACAAATCAATAAATCAAAGATGTGAAGAGCCTGGTTGTGAAATGGAATACTCAGCATGTATTTTATTAGCTAAGATGGATGATAATTCAAAACGCATGCTATAGCACATCTATAAAGTGTAATGTAAAGGAAAAGAACTCTTTTACTTGAAGCTGGTGAGAATCTGGTTGGGACTTTGGGAAAGAGAGCAGAAGGTTGGAAATGCCGGTGTCCATCACAGAGACTGTGGGAGTCTCTCTTAGAGGGTGTGAGTGGGGAAGAACAAATTTTTTTTTAAAGATTTTATTTATTTGACACACATACACACAGAGAAACAGTGAGAGAGAGACAACACAAGCAAGGGGAGTGGAAGAGGAAGAAGCAGGCTTCCTGCTGAGCTGGGAGCCCGATGCGGGGCTCCATCCCAGGAACCTGGGATCATGACCCAAGCCAAAGGCAACCGCTTAACAAGTGAGCCATGCAGGTGTCCTGGGAAGAACAAATTTAACATTTATTGCTCACCTATGCTGTGCTGGGGGCCATGGTAGGCACTTTGCAGACATCTTTTTAAATCTTTTTTTAACATAGACTTCATCGTTTAGAATGGTTGTAGGCAATATTGAGCAGGAGGTATGGAATTTTCCTACATGTCTCCCACCCCACACATGCTTAGCCTTCCCTATCAACAACACCCCCCACTATTGTGGTATAGTTGTTACAACTGATGAGCCTACACTGATCTATCATCACCCAAAGACCATAGTTTGCATTAGGGTTCACTGTCAGTGTTGTACCTTCTATAGCTTTGAACAAATGAAATGATGCGTATTTACTATTACAGGATATATATTACATATATATATGTATGTGTATATATATATATCATAGACTATGATATATATACTATGATATATGATATATCTGATATATCATATATGTACTGTATACATACTATACATATACTATAATAGTAGATACGCATCATTTCATTTGTTCTTTCTGTATGATGTATATGTATATATCATACAGAGTAGTCTCACTGCCCTAAAAATCCTCTGTGCTCTGCCTATTCACCCCTGCCTCCTCACTAACCCCTCATAACCCCTGATCTTTTTTTTTTTTAAATCCCCACAGCTTTGTCTTTTCCAGCAATTCATCTTGCTGGAATCATAGAACATTTTCAGATTGGCTTCTTTCATTAAGTGCTATGCATTTAAATTTCCTCCATATCTTTTCATTGATTGCTAGTTCATTTCCTTTTAATGCTAAACAATATTCCATTGTTTCATTGTACCATACTTTATTTACTCACCGAACTACTATTCACTCACTGAACATAGTTTATTTACTCACTGAACTGTTGAAGGACATTTTGGTTGCTTCAAAGTTTAACATTCACATGCAGGTTTTTGTCTGTATGTAAGTTTTCAAGTCCTTTAGGTAAATACCTTAGAGCATAATTGCTGTATCATATGGTAAGAGTATTCTTTTTTTTTAGTTTTGTTGAGGTATAATTGACAAATAAAATTGCAATATATGTAATGTGTGCCATATGTTTAGGTTTAAAAAAATCTTTGAATTTATTGAGATTTGTTTTGCAGCCTAACCTGTAATCAGTTCTGGAGAATGTTCCATTTGCACTGCCAAACTATCTTTTTGGAATGGCTATGTCGTTTTGCATCCCCACCAGCAATGAATGAGAGTTCCTGTTGCTTCACAGTCAGCATTTGGTGTAGTCAGCGTTCCAGACTTTGGCCATTGTGTAGTGGTATCTCATTATTTTAATTTACATTTCCCTGATGACGTATGATGTGGAGCATCTTTTCATGTGCTTATTTTCCACCTGTATATCTTCTTGAAGAGATGTCTATTGAGATCTTTTGCCCATTTTTTAATCAGGATGCTTGTTTTCTTATTGTTGAGTTTTAAAATTTCTTTGTATGTTTTGGATAACATATGTTTTAGGTCCTTCATCAGATATGTCTTTTGCAAAAATATTTCCCAGGCTGTAGTTTCTGTTCTCATTCAGTTGACAGCATCTTTCATAGAGCAGGAATTCTTAATTTTTTGAATTCAGTTTTGCAGCTATTTCTTTCATGGATTGTGTCTTTGGTGTTGTATTGAAAAAGTCATCGTCAAACCCAAGGTCACCTGTATTTGTTCCTGTGTGATTCTTTAAATCTTAAAATCCCTCCAACCCTGTTTTATAGATGTGGGCTTAGAGAGGGTGAGTGGTTCTTCAATGCCACTAAAATAGCAAGTGGTGGGACTGGATTCAAACACAGGCCTGTCCAACCTCAAAACCAAGCCAGGAGGCTCTCTCCTTACTCTGTGGCTGCTGCCTCAAGAGCAACTCTCAATGGCTATCAGATTGGCTCTTGTCCACGGTTGGACAAGGTCTCTGTCAACACTGAGATTCTAGGTCACAGATTAGAGCACAGAGAAGAACAGGCACTTCTTTTGCCTTTTTGACTCAAAGACCTACTAAATTTTATCTTCATGTGCCTGAAGGGTACTCCTCCCATGTCATTGTCGTTCTTTCTTACAAAGGTAACTCACTGAGGGTGATGACCTCTAAAATTTTGGCTGAACTGGGTGACCGAGCTCCTCATTTTTGCTGGTAGGATTTGAGAGACTTTGGGGGAGATGGTACATGAGCAAATGGAGAATTAGCGAGGTTTTACAATGTTGTTACAAACCTTATGATGTGAGTTGATTGTTTCATGTAGCCTCATAAAACAAGTCAGAGATGGTGGAGGGTGATTACCTCACTCCCCTGCCTTCCCAGCAGAGATGAAGCCTTCCTTAGCATGCAAGAGCTTTCCTGATGCCCCACTCCAGCCAGCCCGGTTTTCAGATTTTAATATGTTCCTGTAGTAGGTGTGGAGGAGAAAATGAGGAAGAAGGGAGGAAACCCATTGGCCCAACTTGTGGCACTGCCATTCTTGGCAAAGATGAATGATTAATGTCACAGCAGAGCACCAAAACTTACAGAAACAGGCCTGCTTGGCTTGGATAGTAAATGAATAAGCCAGTTACACCTTCTCTTGGATGGCTGGCAAAAGTTTCGTCGTCATAGCAACTGCCCCCATCGTTTGCTCTGCTTACACAAGTTATCAGCCTCTGTCCCAACCCCAAGCTACCTAAGAAGGAGGAGCCGGGTCTTGTTCATTCCTTATTTATAATTAGCTTCCAGTGAGGGGGAGGGACAGGCAGGGTTGCCTCCTGCTCAGGCTGCTTGCCTGAATTACATCCACAAATGCCTCGGAAGCAGCAGGCTGACTGCATCGTTCTCTTCACATTCCTGGGTCTGTCTGGGCTGGTTGGTGCAGTTACCAGAACATACCACATTGGGATTGTGGAAGAATACTGGAACTATGTACCCCAAGGGAAGAACGTTGTTACTGGAGGAAGTTTTTCAGAAGACAAGTGAGTAAAGTTGGGGTTCTCACAGACTCCGGGGTTCGCTTTTTTTTTTTACTCTGAGTGGAGAAGGTTATAGTCCTTGGGTTGTGAGGGTGAGTGGGGGTGAGCTGATGTAAGCCCAGTGGAGGGGTTTTGTGCTTGTTTGCAGAGCCCTCACAAGGGTGGGCATGGAATGTGGAAGAGATATTCTTGGCCCTATTTGTTGAGCCTTGTCCATGAAGTGCTACACACAAAACCATGTGTTTTGAACAATGGCTTACTTTATAGAAGGACAATTTTCACTGAGCACTATTAGGGATTTCCAGTGGGTTCTGGACTCAGTTTGTTAAAAAAAAAATAATGGAAACCCTTTGGATAAACATTTGAGAATTTTCAAGAATTCTTCATTGTTAAAACACACACTGTTTTCTGAGTTTTTATTTTTGGAATGAAACATCATAATTGGAGATACATATGCTATAAGTAGTTAAGTTTTGTTTTGTTTTGTTTCGTTTGCAATGTTTAAAAGAGGGGCAATTATAATGGATTTGGCTGGTATTTTAAGAGTTTCCCCAAGTCTTCTTAGAAATAACTTCTTCACTGGTGAGAGGTTTGTTTTAGCTCCGACTCATTCAATCTGAGGGCAATATTCTAGTTCCCGGGCCCATGGCATAGCTGGGTGAGATGGTGTCGGAGTGTTGTATGTACCTGATTTTTTTATTTTTTGCAGAAAATAGCCCTTTCTCTTTCTTTCCCTCTCAGGGTCCAGTGTCTTAAATCTCTTATTTGTTCCCTGGAGCTCCCTCTTAAGTCATCTTCCACCCCCAGGAGCTATAACATATACTTTCAATATTGTGGTTTTTAGAACATCTTTTGAGATGTTCTGGCAACTTCTGTTGGATATCCAGGTATTCTGGCTTCTTTCTGATAGGAAGAACCCAATTCATTCAACATCCAAGTTCCAATTTCTAAAAATGAAGTTAGTTGCTAAGTTTCAGGAATACCATGGAGTCTTCCAACAAGTCTTTAAAAGCCAGGCCCCCCTACCCCAGGAGAAGACCAAATATCCAGGTGCTTAGACACATTGCTTCTGGGTTTTCTGACAATACAAAGGTGGCATAGTCATGTTTGGTTAAAGAAGGATGAAACTCATGCCAACCAGGCTGCTAAGAAAGACTCTTCCTTAAGCTTTGTTCCAGGAAACTTAATGTCCAGAGGCCTGTTTCCAAAGAAATCTCTTGACTTCTTTCAGTCTCATATGTGCTGACCATTGGTTGTGGTAATCTTTATTGTGACAAATGGATGTGGGATGGAGAGGCTATCCTAACTGCCATTGATTGACCTTCCCTAGAAGAGAGCTCTGATGTCCTTATAAAGGGCTCCATGGAAAACAGTCATTGTGGGCAGCCATTGGACATGAATGAGGCTGTTCAAGATTTGTGTGCTGAGCACAGCGATTACAGTCTTTAAGCACAATGAGACATTGGATTGCCTTTTCCTGTGGTTGAGTAAAGAGGTTAGAAGTCTATCTTTCTCCTAAAGTGTCAGTGTGGCTATTTGTGAGCATTTGTTATGACCCAGGAGTTCCACCAGAGACTTTCAATTCATTATTGTTTGCAGTAGGTATTATTTCCACTTTTCAAACCAGGAACTGAGACCCTGAGATTAAGTATTTGTTGGAGTTTACAGAGTAAAGGCGGAACCAAAGTAATTTTTCCGCCATGCAACCCATTTCTTGGTAGAGGTGATCCTTTCCCACTTAATTAAACTCAGCTGTGACGGCAGCCAGGGATTCCAGCAAAAAGAACTTTCTAGAAATTCCCAATTCTTACCAAAGGGAGATGTAGTCTCACAGGTCACTCTTCCCAGAGAGACGTTGAAAATGATCACTGGTGTCAATGGTCAAACTGGTTACCTATTTGGGTTCATTCAAAAACCCAACGTACTTTAAATACTCAAATGCTACAATGCTCTTTTCACAAAGCTGAGTGCAGGAAGACATTAGGGGCTCCCTATTAATTATTTCAGCCAGAAGATGGTGCTTTGAAGAACATACAATAAAGTGTTTGAAAATAGTTATGGTGAAAAATTAAAAAAAAGAATAGGCATGACTAAGACAGTTCGGTGTTAGCTTAGGGTGGGGTATTTTAACAAATGGTGTGGTCCCAGTTGAGAGGACTCTTGCCCTTGGAGCACAGCTGGCATTCTAGATGTCATGCCCACAATGCCCAAGTCCCCAAGTGTGTGAAGGACTGGTGTCTACACAGGGCTGCCTCCTGCCTCTGAAAGGGGGAGCCTGGGTTACATGGCACATAGTGTCTTTTATTAGCCGTGATACTCGTGTGGCAAGCGGCTCAGGGCAAGTCCCTAAGAAGGCACTGCTGACTCAGGCTTGAAGCATACGGGACACATGTCATGATTTCCAGGTGTCACAGCTACAAGAGGTGTCACAGGGGAAGATGTCACAATTGTGGGACATATGGAGCTCAGTGTGCGTACTCTAGTTCGTGCCATTTCCCCAGAAGCAAAGAGTCATCTTGGATAACGTGACCATGCCTCTCACTCGGCCTCCGGCACTTCTGAGGACAGTCTACTGTTGAAGATATTCAGACCCAGAAAAATGCCCGATATTTGGAGGGCCATGTGCCTAGTATCCTACTAGCAGTGGAAAGAGCCTGGAATAGGAATAGGAAGACCCGACTTAGAAGTCCTTGCTCTGCCCCCAACTTGCTGTGAAACCTTGAACATCTCACGTAATCTCCTGACCATCAAGTTCCTTAATTGGTATGACAAGGGAGTTGAAATATAATCCTTAAAGTCACTTGAGAAGTGTAATTCCAAGAAATCAAAAATAATTTTTGAAACTGAATGAAGAACATCTTACCCGATTCTCCAGTTCTAGAAAGATTTTTACAATGGTGAGAGAGACAGATGATTTTGCAAGCATTCAGTCTAGGAGTCAGAGCTGGAGAAGATCCGCGAGTGGGGATATGGGACAAATTTTGAAGTATTCCATATTTTTCTTTGCTTATCCACCCCCCCCAACCCGTTCTTTAAGAACTATCTCTAATTCTTCATGCACAAAGAATTTCCCCACAACCCTGCCTTATTCTGATCTCTTTCCTTCCTCACCGATCAAGGAACTTGGTGTCTTCCTTAAGCCTTAGACATAGCATTTCCCTCTCCCCGAATTGCTATGTGGGTGTTTGATGTACCCACTGGTCACTCTGGCAGCTGAAAGATAAGCACCATCATGGCAGAGAGGGAGGCCCAGAGTACATTTAATTTTGTCCCCCTTTCCCCCAAGCTTTGGTGGTGACAATAATCCATGGAGGACTGAGCACAAGGCTATTCATTTGGAATTATTAAAAACTAATCACTTTGTCCATATAGTTATTCCAGTTGCTTAATCTTTGACTACGGGAATGGCAAAAATGAGGGGAACAGAATGGTGAGTGCCAAAGTGTCTGTGATGTAAAAAAGCTTGGAAACCAAAATTAGGCAGTACCGAGAGCCTAATAAATCCTGATTCACAAGGATGGGATAGGGAATAAATTGAGATCATTTTGCCAAGGCTCCAAAGCAGTCAGATGGTATAATTTAATTTTCCATCTGGGTACCTTTGCTTAATCATAGATTTCAGAAATATAATTGAGACTGTAAGCACTCATATTTCCTAGAAAGCATAAAATTTGGGAGCTATATTCTATTTAGAAGTAGATTATCCAGATGAATATATTCCTCCTGTTCCCCCTTGGGCCTAATGGGGACACTGGGCTCCTTTGATTTGCCTGGGGATGGTGTCAGCATTTGATCCATTCATGCTTGTCCTGTTCTGGCTCATAAAGGGCTTAATTAAGGTGTTCCTGTGCTTCAGTGGTAAAGCCAAGTCTTTAATGGAACCAGAGTGGGGTCACCTTATTTAAAGCTACAATTCTCACCAAAGACCTCATTAAGCAACCAACACACATGCAGGATTTTTCTTCCCAGTAAAATGTGGGGTTTTCACGGGTGCAAACTCACAGGCAGAACTACCCCTGGACATGAGTGAGGCTGACCACTGCTCAAACCTCAATGTGTAGGGTCTGTTAAGGAGTTTATGTAATCGTATCACTGTGTTAGCCCAGTTGATGGTAAAGGATTTTGAGACAGGCCCTAGGATGGGCATAAGGGAGACCTATATAACTATAAGAACTACATAACTATCTGAAAGAAGAGCCAATTAATTGAAGGGAAGCAGGTGGGGGAAGAGAGAATCTTTTGTAAGCTTTGAAATAAAGGGAAGGGGACAATTTCATCTGGGCTTGATCTTAGAGGGTGACTTTCAAATCTCAACTTCTGTTGGATCAGCAGAAAAAATCATGCACTGGGTCTGATGCCATATGAATATCTTGGGGCTGCTGTTATTCCCTATGTCAGATAGTGATTGATTTGGCCTGCCAGTGGAGACCAGAATAGAATGCCTTAAACAAAGTAAGCTTCTGTATTCTCTTACAAAAGAATCCCAGAGGTGGGCAGTCCAAGACTGGTGGGACAGGTGGTATGATAGGATGTGGGGGCCTTCTGTTCTTTTGACCCATGATCCTTAGCATGTGACTTTACTCCTCAAGGAAGTTCATGGTCACAGTATGACTGCTGGAACTCCAGCCCTCATGTCTATGTTCCAGGAAGAAGAGAGGAAGGGAAAAGGTAGAAAGGGTACAATTCCTGCTGCATTAGCCCATTAATGGAAACACCATACAACCAATTCTACATATATCTCACTGGATACTCGAAGCCACACAGTGGGGGGAAAAGGGGTTAAAAATATAGTCTTTTAGTTTTGTGCTTTTGTTTCTGAGTAAAAGCCGGATTTGATTCTCTTACTAAGAAAGAAGGGAACATGAATATTGCAAGGCAGCAAGCAGTCCCTGCCACCTTCCCCTACCTCAGTCCTCCCTGTTTCTCATCCTTCACAAACACCCTCTTAGTCCCCCTCTTTTTTTTTTCCCACCTCCAGACAGTGGGGTCCCAAGTCCCGGTTA